CCTGCTGGCAGCACACCAATAACCAAATAATAATAATAAAAAAAGACCTTAATAACCTCAAGGAGTACTTTCTGTTATCAGAATTGACATGATGCTTCAGCAGTAAATCTTATGTGGCACTGAACAGCTAAGAAAGAATTAAAATTGAGCCTAAGGCAACAATTCCACTTAAATACTTTTAAGTCTATTACTTAGCAACATGAATAGCCCCAAACAAGAGAACCAGGATATAACAGAGAGAGGTAACACTACTCTGTCAGGGAAGAAAGCTGCTTTGCAATTTTCCTATGGATAATCATGTATCTACTTACATTTTTATGATAGTTACATGCCTTAAGGAAAAAGTCTAGTTTTACCATAGTAATTAAATTTAGAATCACTGGATGAATCACCTAACAGCATGGTATGCTACAAAATATTAACATACCTATTAATAACATTTCTGAAGTAATAATCTACCTCCTTACTCTACTGGAATTTCTTGTTCTTAATCCACAATTTAAAGTTCTCTCACTAGTAATAGCTCTTATAAAGCACTTCTCACAAGTAATCTGAATGCTTTACTAGGGAGGTCATTGCATTTATCCTCATCTCACAGCAGGTGAAACTGAGGTACGTGGAGGTGAAAAGGTGACAGTGGATGAGCTACTGCCATGAGCTGCAGAGAAATTAAGGTCTCTGAATCCTACCCCAATGTTAATGCATTGCATAGAATTTTATCTGGTCTATAAGCACATTCAACGTTGAAGCACATTGTTTAAAAGATATGGATATTCTGAAGTGATTTGGGGAAAGGAGTGAATTGTCACAGAACATCACCTCTTAAAAAATGTGGGTTGCTTCAGCCTTCAAGAACTTCCCACCTGCCTTGACAAAGCACAAGTTCAGAGATAGTCTCTCTCTCGGATCAATCCCACTCAAAACTTGTGTCTTCCAAAAAGAGAAAGTGTGAGAGTCCCTTTATGATCCCCACAAGTCAAATACAGTGTTATGAGACAGAAAAGAGGAGTTTCTTAAAAAAAATAACATTAAAGTGCTTTTTGCTCCCTGGCTGCCTGAATAGGCTGGGTATAAGCCATGATGACAGAAAATCCTTGTTGCTTTCTGAGTACAATCTTTAATATAGTCAACAGAGAAGGAAAGGGAACACATTCCCAGTCTCTGAGATGTATAGGATTAGGGAGTACTCACTAAAAATTACTTTTCTTGTGATAACAATGAGAAAAAGTAATTTAAAACTTAAGCTGTCAGAAAAGATGGGTTCACCGGTTAAAATGTACAAAATATTATTTTAGTGGCTATAGAGATTTCTTTCAGATATTTGCAATCTTCTACTATAATATTTGTCATAGGATTAAAATTCTGTTGAGAGCCCAGACACTCGAATACAGGTTAACTGTTACTACCCAGCACCGATGTTAATGCTTTCAGAGTTAATAGTGTGGTTTAGAGATGTCAAGGCCAGCACATAGCATGTAGTCACTAGGTGGCACTCCATAATACGCAGATATTTATTTATCTGCAGTACTTTCCTTACAAGTAAGTTTTCTTTTCCAGAAGCACATGATTTTGTTCTACTTTTTTCTTCTAAACTTGTCCTATGGAAAAAAATAAACTTGAAGATAAAATTTCAAACATTATATAGAGAGGCTGAATAGACATATGCCAAATAATCCAGGAGATTTTGAGCAGCAGCAGATCAGAAGCTTATTATATGTTGGAATGTATACAACCAACTTGTACATATGCAGACTTTGGCAATTATGTCAAACAAACAAACAAAAATAAGATCTAATACATACAGCAAACTGAAACACTTATGGCTTTAATTGGTAATGTGATCTTCAGTAGTTTGGAAAAACAAGAATGAAAATCTCATTCTTTCCATTATAATGCATTATTTTTCATCATTTCAATACTATGCATAGTGCTTAGGGCTAAGCTGCACTGTAACATTTCCACATTGCACATCCTAGCACCCAGCCCACTTCCCCTGAGCAGTTTTGAGCGTTCTTTTTAAGGCCGTTCAAAATTCACCAATGTATAATGGTCTAAAATGCAGTGAGCAGCTGTTTTTTTCACCAAGCCAGAATTCAGGTTAAAGCTGATGAATAGATTTAACTTTTTAAAATTATCCACATAACTCCAAAGAAGTAATTTCTGTAAAGATTAAGTGAATATTTTGGTGTTGACTGGAGATTTTGTTCAAAAGCTTCCCTAAAATGAAAAGGGAAATGAAAAAAAAGTGCATTGCTTAACTATATTAAAATGAAACCTACTTCTGATTAAGGTGTTATACTGAATGAATATTAATTCCATTAAAAAAAAGTAGATTCTGCCAATTTAGCCCCCTAAGCTGTGTCTTTTTGGCATCAAGGGGTCCCTGATTCTAGCTCAAGTTGCTGTGCAGAAACTTCTAGCTGGCAGCATGGACGTGCCTGTGTGAGTGTATGTTTTCTGTTTGTGTAGCAAGAGACTTAGACCACCGCTGCCAGGAGCAGTCTACTGTTGTGTTGGCTCAACCATACAGTAAAACCATACTGCAGGGCATTGGACGAGATGATCTTTAAAGGTCCCTTCCAACACAATACATTCTATGATTCTATGATTCTATGTTTCTATGAAATGTAGATAGCAATAGATGCAGATAGAGATAGATGTTATTTGAAGACTACATTTTTGATGCATCAGCTTTATCTTCAGGGCTGAGTTTTTAGGTTTTAGTTTTTCTTTGTAACCTAAGTTTAGAGCATCATTTGTTTATTTAAAAAAAAAAAAGGAATCTGAGAGCAAGTTGCTATGAATTAAGAAATGGAGTGGCATATATGTACTGAAACATAACTGTGAGTTTTACATAGCGAACATTTGTTTCAGACATAGGCACAGTCCTGAAAGTTGTGAGTATCACAAAGGAGAAGTGGACTAAAGAGGAAGTGGTCCTAGAAGAGCTGCAGTTATTCAAGGTGAGTATTAACAGCCACAACATCAATTAAAGATTATTCAGGGTTCTTTAGGGCCTAAACTGGCTCTTTCTGTGTAGTTGTTTGTTTACTGGAACTGGTTCAGGTTTCCAGAGGAACACTATGTAAATTTTTAAATGCTTTAGTATTCTTTGGGTAAGTCAATTGAATAAGGTCCAAAACCAAACAGACCGTGATTTTTCAAACTCATAGAAAGTCTCATTTATCCTGCATTGTTCTAGTTTGAAATCTTATTATAAGCCCTGTTTTTTTAAGTAGTAGTAGTAGTAGTAGTAGTAGTAGTAGTAGTAGTAGTAGTGTTTTTAATGTCAATTTTTCTATTGTCTCAGCTTTGGGTCTATACTTTGTATAATTTTTTTTTTAAATAAACAAACAAAATTCCACAAACCAGAGAAATTCTTTAAAATAACAACTTTAGTAATTGAAAACATAAAGAAAATAAAACAAATTTCATTTTGTTTATTGATGTGATTTAATTTGTAGGTGAAGGCTGACTCAACACATTTCACCATTTTGATTTGGTTATTCTGGCAGAGTGATAAAGAAGAAAAGTATCTAGACCCCTGCTAGCACCAATGTCTTCTTCATAAACAGAGCTTGTAAAAAAAACCAAAACCTCTTTTCTGTTTCAATTGCACAATTTCTGATTAACCTCATTACTGATGAGTGAGC